ACCGAATTACTGCAAGAAATATTATCAACACACTGACACCACAATATAGTCTAAATATTTTCCTGGGCTGGTTTCATTCATCTTTACCATGTGCGGGTCTTTGGCTGGCCAATAGTGCGTGTGGTAGAGGTCCAGAGGTCAAGTAAAATATATATGAACATGGCCTGCGGTTAATAAGCTAATGGTCATTAAAGATCAACCTGGATGTATTTAATTGTATTGCTTGTTTGTTTGACAATTAACCATGGGTTATCAAAATCTAGTTTTTAAAAAGGTTGAAGAATAAACTGCAACATGGGAAATGGTTTATATTTCACTGAACACAGTCCATCTGAAATTACAAACAACATACACTGCTTATGACCGCAAACTCTGCTTATGACCTCAGGGACTCTAAAAATAAGCTTAATGTTCCACTACCGCGCACTAATTATTACAGAAAAAGCTTTAGCTACAATGGCGCCACATTATGGAACAGTTTACCACGCGATATAAGGAACACAGAGTCTCTGGGGTTATTTAAACGTAAGATCAATGACATTCTTTAAGTCTAACGCACGGCATTCACGGAAAACACCTTTAGTGTTATAGTATGTAGTTTTAATTTTAAATATCTTAGCGTATGTGATATGTATTTTTATAGGCTGATGAATTGATCGTGTCTAAATAAAGATTACAATACAATACAATAATCTGTAAGGTTTGAGATCACCACAAAACTGCAATGCAAATTGTTCTTCACTGCAAAACTGCATTAAAAGAAGGGTCAACGCTGCAACACCACAAACCCAAATGTCCCCCTCTTTATGACTGTGCAGGTCAAGCGGAAGGTACATTCCTGTATACGGACTTATATATGTTTTAAGAGCATCACGATGAGAAAACTGGGCAGAACCAGGCAGAGACAATAAAGCTCAAATCACTGATTTGGTTCAAACTTGGCACACATGCAAAGTATCACGAGTTAACAAATGTGTGAAAATAATAGGTCAAAATATTTAATTTCCTGGGAGATAGAGGGTCCCGCTGGGAAAACCCCCGTTTCCTTTTTGAATAATTAATTAGCTAACTTTACATTGCTGTTGTGACAAACCAAAAAGCCATCTCCAAATTCAATCAACTAGATTATGTTCTATATCTAACAGACTTTTCAAACACTGAATTCTTTTAAATTTTTCATTTCATTTCTTCCCTTACCTCTCCCTTAAGAAAGACGACTTTTTCTAGTTTTGACAAAGTCCAAAAGTAAGGCTATTTTAAGGCCCAATATCTCCGATGACCTACCAGTTCTGATCATTATCCCTACATGGGCAGTGAAAGTCATCACTGGACTCCCAAACCAGTAATAATATTTTGGGGCAACTGATCTCATAACCCGTGCCGACGTGAAATTTATTTTTAACTCCCGCTTTTCGGTCTGTATCATCAAAATTCCGTAAACCACATCTTTATTTTATTAACTTAAAATAACGAAATTTACATGGAGTTTCCCAGAGAGTATCGTTTAAACATGAACAAGGAGAAAATCTTTGAATGGTGCAAGTTGAGCCCTTTTTTGAGAACTTTTTTTCGCAGCCATACTTAGATTATTCTTGAGGAAACGCAGCAGTTGATGATGAACACCAAGGGCGCAAGTAGTCGAACTTTCTGACAATAGTAATCCAGGAAGAAACTTGATAATACGCACGTCTCTGTGGTGCCTCAGTTGCAACTTTTGGCTTGATGTGATTTGTTAGATAAGTAGCCATTATATGTCTACAATGTGCCAGATTCCATTTGTTTCGTTGCCTTGTTGAAATATTAAACGCGGTGAGAGTTCTCGGAAAGATCGGTAAAAATTATTGATCTTTTACAGCGTGATCTTTATCGACTTACATGATATGTGTTGGTGGCCAAAAAAATGAAGCTGATGTAAATCAAAAGATGAGATCGCGCCTGCGATTTGTTCAGCGGTCAATCTTTGTAACTGGTTGTATGACATACACACTTGACCGCTGAATAATATTGCCGGCTTAGTAAAGGATGGCGGAGCGTTGCTCATGTACCGAGAAACTAGGAGAACTAGTTTACCGCGGGATCCAGTGATCCTTTAGCAATCTTCCAACATTGTATGTGTTTGGAAATCAGCAATATCTGCCCTCTCCCAAACAGCTTCAGAGGGTAGAGGACCCTTCTCTTAATAAGAAAGGGGGGTTGCGGTTTGTACTATCGCACACGTGGGACCGTGCGTTACGGGACGTGCCGAATTAGCTATAACGTGACACTTGCGTGACCGAGGCTGACTCGGCAGTTTCCTGATGAAGGCCGTGTGATATGGCTGAAACGTCGATCGTTCGTCTATAATTTTCCAGTATTTGAATTATTTTCCTTTTAAGACCGGCTATTACCTCTGTCTGATACTTACTACGATATTGATTGTTGACCTCCACCCCTTCCTCGCCCCACCTTTCATTAATAATTCGCACTTTTGCAATGGAGCAATTTCTAAACTACATCTCAACGAAAAGTCAAATATAACAATAGAGAGCAAGAGACTATATATCAAATGTAAGCAAAAAACCTCGGATAAAATATGTAAGTGATTTCTATAGACATGTTATGTTCAATAGTCCATTTTACAGTTGTGTGCTTGGTTACCAAGCCTTTTTTTATGTCAGTTTTTTCAAAAAACTGACCTGTATATGGTTATATACATGTATAATGTATATACATGTATAATGGTTAGTAACCATTTTATTTTTCCTTGCACTGAGAGGAGACCAACATATCATCGGCTTATTTCTTTTTCGGTGAATAAGAAACTATCTCCAGCTTAACAAATAACAAGTCAAATATCTTGGAAGCCGTACATCTTTGTTACATTTTAAACTTTGTAGACTAGAAACACAACATGCCAAATGAATGTCAAAGTTGACCGCTGAACAAATCGTAGGTGCTATCTCATCAAAGATAGGGAATGGTCCTTTTGATTTACATCAGCTTTCAGGGCATCAAATTATATTTTTTTCACCACACACATACCATGTAAGTCGATAAGTATCACGCTGTAAAAGACAATAATTTTCACCGACCTTTCCGAGAGCTCTTACCGCGTTTAATATTTCAACAAGGCAATGAAGCAAATCGAATCTAGTACATTGTGCACATAATGGTTACTTATCTAACAAATGATATCAAGCCAAAAGTTGCAACTGAGACACCACAGAAACATGTATGTACTATCAAGTTTCTTCCTAGATTTCGTTTGTCAGAAACGGTTCGACTACATGCGCCCTTGATGTTCATCATCAACTGCTGGTTTCCTCGAGAATAATCCAAATAACGCTGCGAAAAAAGTTCTCAACAAAGGGCTCAACTTGCACGATTCCTGACCAGTCTACTCTGCTCTAAAAAGGCAAAAACCACTCTAGATGTGTTTGATCTAAGACAGGATACTTAATACTTCAAATACGGCGGATACTAGCTCATTGTCTTTCGTTTTTCCGACATCAGTTTTAAGCTGACCATTCATCTCACTTAACAACTCGCGTGGACCTTTTTTACAATATTTCAACAAAAGTTTTGGCCTCGGGATATGGGCAAATAATTACGGCATTGAACATATGCGTGAATTCGAAGTCGTAGTCCACTTAGCACGCTTTGCGCTCACAAACTGCATCCACGTCTTTCGCCGTTTTACAGCCTATGGCCTTTGATCGCTAGGCTTGAGTCGATTGTGCCAGTATAATGTTGAGCATAATTTGGCAAAACGAGCATAATTTTAAACTTTTTTCAAAGAAAAGCACTGCTAGCATAAGCTACTTTATTACTTCCACGATATGAACAATTTTCGTAATTTTGAAGTGAATGTACTTCTCTTGACTGAATTATGTTTTTAGAATGTTTGTTTCTCATAATGAATTGCGCCTACGGTGGATTCACTGCGGTCGTTACAACGTTTCTTGGTTTCTTACCACTCGCTTGCGAGTGCTGCGATCCAGGATAAAATATGGCGTCCTCTTCGTCGAACGGATCCTCGTCGAACACTTCTAGTTCTTCAGGCAATGTCGTACAAAGAGCCCCAGTCTCTCGGGAGCGTGTATTGTAACCGGTTAAAGGAAAATATAGTGAAAGAGGTACATCAGATCTAAAAAGCATCAGTCATAACGATCAAATCAAACAATTTCCCGGAGAAAGTTTGTGTCTTCGAAACGCTAAACTGTTTTGTGACGCTTGCAAGCAGCTTCTAAGCCCTATAGGAGCATACTTCAAAATCATGTTGCTTCCAGAGAGCACGACTCGAGCAAGGCGACGATGAAAAAAGCCAAGACGCGAGATTAAACTATACTACGGAGGCGCTTAGACAAGATAATACACAGAGCAAGGACTGCACGTTGCCAGTTGAGGAGAGAGCATACCGTTTACAGGTGGTAGAGAAGTTTCTCAAAGTTGGAATCCCTTTACGAAACATAGACAAACTCTGACTGCTCAGCGTGAAAAGCAAGGCTATCGTCTTAGTCATCATTCTAAAATGAAGAAGTACATTCTAATGATTTACACCTAAGCAAGAGATACAGAGGATTAAAGCGGAAATTCGCTGAGAACCATCTGATCGCAATGGCAGGGAATGCAAAAGGGATCTTTCCATTATCTTTGATGGAAGCACGAGACGGGGAGAGGCGATCGTGATCGTGGTCCTTTTTGTCAACGATTATTGGTGCATTGTGCAACGACTGATCAGAATTGATGTTTGTGCCAAATCAGTAAAGGGTGACGAACTTGCCCAAGTTCTCTGCGAATGTTTATCTGTTGACTATGGTGTGAGAGCAGACTCATTGATAGCGGCCATGAGAGACAGCGCCAGCGTAAACCAAGCAGTCTTAATTAAGGGGGCATTCTGGTTACATTTTGGGGCAAATTCACTTGCATATAAAATAATGCATAAAAAATTTACAATTGAGAGAAAACAGTCAAAACTTGGCACATGCATTAATCAATGACTAATAAGTAAGATAACATGATCAATAGACACCAGAATCTTTAATGAAGTTGATTATTAACTAATGAATTCCGGAGACAATTTTTTACTTGTTCTAGCTTCCCCTTGAAATTCTTGTGTTCTAAAAGAGCTATAGAGCTGTAACTTAGTACAAAGCACTTACACAACACACTCTACAAAGTAATTGAGCCTTTGGGGCTTTGCCAACTGTAGTTACCATGGCAACCATTTGTCGACAGAGAATATTTATCAGACTGTAATTTCTGTTTTATGTGGAATTTTCAAAAAAGGCTCAATTAATTTGTTAACCATAATATCTATTATAACTGTGCAAAATATGGTGAAAATATGTTGAAATGTTCTTAAGATATTTAAGGGGTAAGTACGAAAACAACAAAATTTCCATAATTTGAGAAATGCAAGTTAAAAATGACCAATATAGTTAGATGCTACTTAGAGCCCCTTGACTTACATAAATTTACAAATTTACATTGATACACTGCTCACACCTATCCTAACTGTCTCTAGTTGTTCCTTTTTATCTATTGAGGCTCTCTGAGAGTAGCAATGTCATTAAAACTGCCTGCTTCATATGTCATTCCTTCTCTCCTGACTCGGAGTTCTTCTTCTTTCACTCTTGCTTGTTTCCTTGCAAGCCTATATTTCTTGTGCTTTTCTTGCACTCTTGCCACAGCCTGTTTTACTCTTCCTGAGTCTCTTCTTTCACTAGCTCTGTTGGTATGGTGTCCCACAACAAGCCCTGCTTCCCTCATAACACTGTGTTTCTTAGTTGCGCCGCAACTAAAATGAAGGGCAGCAGCATTTGCCACCATCCCTATTCTCTTTGATCCATGCCACTTGTGCTTTGGACACTTTCCAGACAAGAGAATTGATAGAGTCATTGGTATTGTGTGTAGCCAGGCAAACAGGCCTTTGCAACAATGCTGACTCACTTAATCTTTCATAAATCTTTAGCAATGGCTCTTTGAAGACAGCATCCAGATGATGAGGCTTGTCTTTGCAGGCTAAGCCAGCACAATGATTAGCAGTAATACTCCTCTTTGACCAAGTGCAATCAAAGGTGACGGATATCAACAAGAGAAAACTGTTATCATTTCTTGAGGTTCCTCCATCTATTGCGACTTGTTTTGCTTCATTCTCATTGGCTTTAAGCTGCTCCTTGGTGACTTTGTCGTGTGCAGCATGAAGAATTTCCTCATGGTTATACCAAGTGTCTATGGAAATGTTGAATGGCATGTTTAGGATTCCACATAGCTTAGCGACCCCTTCTCTACCATTTCCCATCTCAAAAGCAGCATAAACTATTCGTCTATTGATATCTTTACCCCGGATGGTTCTCGGGGTCTCTTGATCACCATCATGCTCTCCTGTAGCCATAAATTCCTCCATGCCACACTCATGGCACTTAGCAAACAAAGAGCTGCTGATGCCAAATCTCTCAATGCTTCTCTCAATGAGATTAACATTGCCTAAAATAAAATAATTATATATAAGACACTATAGTATAGCCACAGACAAACATTATGTGCTCACAAATAAAGAAAAATTAAAAAAAACATATAACACACCTGAAGCACTTGGTCCACGCGATTGAATCCTTCGAACAAACCTCAACAAACTGTCTATAGAAACAAGCTGATAGCCTTTTACTTTTTCCTAAAATTCATAACTCTCGGAATCAGATGATTCTTGTTCTTGGGCACCTAGTTTCCGCGAAGAAGCTGGAGTTTTGGGCGGAGGAATTCTTTCACTTACAACTCCCATCCGGCTAAACTTCAGAATACCCGGCCACTGGAAAATCATTCATCAAATCCTGCTACCGCAGTACCGCAGTCGACATACTTTACCTAATATCTGCATTATATTAAACATCGTAGTTAGTATTGAGGTTCATCTCTCGATACGAATGGATGCCGACGATATTAAACATCACAAAATATACCGCTTGCATATCCTTTACCTAATATCTGCATTATATTAAACATCGTAGTAAGTGTTGAGATTCGTCTCTCGATACGAACGGATGCCGACGATATTAAACATCACAAAATATTCCGCTTGCATCTTACGAGTTGGTGTTCATCTTGTTTTTCCTTGCTACCGTAGTCCCGCAGTCGATAGAGGTTTCCCGCATGACGTCGCGTTTCCATAGCAACGCATTCACGGCCATCTTGAAGGTCAACTTCTCGCGGAAAACANTTGGGAAGGTTTTTTAATAAAGATTTGTTTGCTCGGCAAACATATCTGTCACTTAGGACTACCATTGAGAGTTGTTATTACAAGATATATACTTAGCTTTGGTCTCCGTTTTCCAGGTTGAGCAAATCACCAATATTCTTGATCTTGATAGCTCGAGACGTAGCATCTTTCCGTAAATAAACAAAGGAGCCCTTTGACCAACAGTACTGGTAATAATGCTGTTCTTTAAACTTCTTCGCCTCGAACAGGACTGTTTGCATTCGGGGTGACAAATGATCAAAAATTCTAACCGCGCTTAACGAGGCATCCTCAGGGAGTCCAACGGAAGCCGGGTCCAATTTGCATGCATCTTTACGATGATTCATGACGCTTTCTTTGGCTAAACGCCTGACAAATTTACAAACTATTGGCTTTATCTTGCCATTGTTATTCCTGCTGGGAACACGATGGGCGGTGTCAATGTCATACATCGATACGTCAGCTCCCGTTTCTTTAAAATGTTTAGGCAAAGCTTGCTTATCGAGGCTGCGGATTCATCTTGCAGCCTCTCAGGCACTCCCACAATTTTTACATTATACTGGAAACTATGTTCCTGAAATTCGTCAATAGCATTTCCAATAATATCTACCATGGCTTTCAGCTCTTCGAGTTTGGCGCTTAGTCGTTGGAGTTCGTCTTTGGCCATGCCGCTAAAGAGATGGAAGTCGTCGTATTTCTTGCTCAAGAACTCTACACATTGGGCACCTTCTTCGCTGGGCAGAACTTCTTCGCTTCTGTCACTATGTCGCTGTATCAACTCCTTCAATCTAGCTACCTCGTCCGACATTGACGATAGTTGCGCTTTAAGTATGTTATTCTCCTTCTTCAAAGCCGCAACTGACCCAGGCATTGCACAAAGGTTATAAGAAAGGACACACAATAAAACAGAATACAAAAATAAGAAAAAGCAAAGAATATAAAGAAACTTAGCGGAGCTCAAAAACTACAACCCTCTTGACCAACATCCGCTGACCATCCTAGTTTAACACCTAGTTTAATACTTAGTCATCCACGGCGGGAGTGCGAACCGCGGTAGCACGTCAGTTTAAAAATTAGTTAATACTTATTCATCGACTGCGGGAGTGCGGACCGCGGTAGCACTTGAGTTTAAAAATTACATTACTACATATTCATCTACTTCAGTAGGGCGGATAGCGGTAGCACTTCATTTTAAAGCTTCCTTTCATACATATTCATCCACTTCGGTACTGCAGACCGCGGTAGCACTTCAGTTTAAAAATTAGTTTAATACTTATTCATCCACTGCGGGAGTGCGGACCGCGGTAGCACTTGAGTTTAAATATTACTTTACTACTTATTTATCCACTTCGGTAGTGCGGACCGCGACTTGACTTTATAAATTAGTTTGCTTCTTATTTATCGACTTCGGTAGGGCAGACAGCGGTAGCACTTCATTCTTTATCTTAGCAAGTACATTTTATTTGTTAGCCGACTTCGGACTGCGGACCACGGGAGCACTCGATTTATAAAGGGCGTGAGTGGCCGGGTATTCTGAAGTTGCTCCCAACATCCTCTTCGACAGCAACGGTTGCAGTCTGATCACGCGTTTTTGCCCTCAAAACAGTTTGTTTTTTAACTCCCCTGAAGCCTTTTTTCTTCCTTTACTTATTCTTCTGAATAGTCGACTGTTTTGAACCATATTTAGGCATTATAACAATGATATTTTGGGTGTATACGAAATATAAACAATGGCGACGCGAAGCGATGTTATGAAGCAACACGAGTTGGCTCTTTGAGCTGAGTAGCCAGGCTCTAATCGGAAAATTTAGACCCAGTGACGTGATCTAGGACTTCTGGATCCCACAGACTCAATTCAGCAGATTTTTTGTTTTTCCATTGTAAATTTAGCTGAAATTCTGATTGGTTTCGCTTTTGTTGCCATGGTAACGGAAACGCAAAATAATAGAGACCTCTCTTTATGTGGATTTTTTTTTGATAAAAGCGTTCTTTGTTAAAAGAATATTATATCCTAAATATAGATCAACTTAAGTGACCTTTAGGGGCGTAAAATAAAATTTACATTTCTTTTGGGAATTTTCGGATTTTTTGACCAGAATGCCCCCAGTCTTAAATCGCATCTAGTTCATATTCTCTAAGACATTCAACGTGTTTTGTTTTTCTCACTCTCTGGATAATGTCGGCAATCACTTTGTTATAGCGAACTTAAGTGAATTTGGCAATCTGTGGATCCGCCTATTTGGGCATAGCTACGAAGTGAAGCTTATGTGGCAGGAACAGACCGGACTTAAATTAAAGAGTTACTCCGAAACTCGTGGGTTGTCGAAGTGGGAAGTTTACAAACAACTCATGAAGCAGTTTGGTGACTTACAAGAATATTCGTGGCTAAAGCTGAGAGAAAAATTTTTCCTCACCAAATCTCACGTCAACAGGTCGACTTTCTGACTGATCCAGATAAAGTTCTGAGCCTTAAGCTTGAGCTCGTTGATGTGGGTGAAACGTTCGTCAAAGCCACTAACGTTTTGGAGGCAGATGGTCCACTAGTCTTCTTGTGCTTCGCGAGACTACAAACGGTTGCAGATACATGTCAGGTGCCACATTTCTGAAATGTCCACGAAGCTGGAGATCCCATAAAAAATGTTGCAGCACTAGAACAGGAAGCCAAAGAGTGTCGAGCCTGGAATTCAGTGGTTTTTGCGAAAATTCAATGCAGATTAGTACAACACGTTGACGCATTCAAGGCTGCTAGAATAATGTACCCGGAAGCTGTGCAACGGCTGCGACCGACGCCAGCAACTGTACAAGATCTACGATTATTTCCGTTTCTGGACAGTAACCATGTAATAAATGGCGGAACTGCCTAACTATGTTGCTGCGGCCCATAACGTCACAATGGCCTGCGAAGAAGACAAAGTGAAGTAGTGGCGACAGCACTCAGATCGATTGCCACATTGGTCGTCTGCAGTCATGAAGGTTCTCCTGGTACAACCCTCATCTGCTGCTGCAGAAGGAGTATTAGGGCCTAGTATTCTCTATAATTAACTCCTCTTTCAACGAATCGCAAGACCATGCTCTAGTAGATTATGTTCAGGCTTGTGTTATACTTCAGTACAATAAACGCTGATGAGCGCATTACTCTGCATCCTTACTTTGACTTAAGAAGCTCCATCGATTGAAAGATGATGAGCAGTATGTTTATGAATTCTGAGGAACAAATGCAGGGGAAACGTGTAACGACACATTGTTTGATAATTGGTTTATGATGGGCTGCAGTCACCAGATAAGTGGTGAGTTGCCGCTTGTTTTGTATTTGCCCCGGTGCTCTGCCTTTATTTTGCTTAAAAACTCAAGTGGCATAATTTTGATGCGAAGAGCATAATTTAGAGAAACGAGCATAACTCGGGCATAAATTTCAGAAATTTTGAGCAGTGCTAAGAGCATAATATGTCAGTTTTACGAGCACAATCGACCCAAGCCTATTGATCGCCCTCAAAAGGAGTCTTGTTGAGCAAAATGTTCTTCTTCGAGTCAGGGGTATTCGAACCGCCCCAAACTACATATCGAAACGGCATTTCATTATTATTATTTTTTTTAAATATCGTAAGCAATAGATTCCACGCCCACTTCGCTTCTTTGATAAACTTGGACTTACAACCGTGACATCACGAACATTTAGGTACTCTTCCACATGGCCAAAGAGATACCTGAGGCCCAAATTCGCCACAGTTTCGGACTGTTTTCGTCTCGTAAAATTACAGACCACCAGAATCACACACATATCCTACCCAACACCTTCTGGATGGTTCTAATTTGATGCTAAAAAAAAGGCGTCATAGGAACTTTAATATGTTTTTATCTCTCGTTATCTCTCTGTAAAAGTTTTGATTTTTACTTTTGGTCGTAATCTTTGTAAAGACCTATTGGGCCACAGGAAATAACGCTCTATAAATAAAATATAACAATTATTGTCAGTAATACATTGAATACCGTATTTCCTCAAATAAGCGACGGGCGTTTATTAGGGGGGGGGGGAGCTGAAATGCGGGGGGCACTTATCAAGTTAGCAAGGCAATAGGAGAAACTGAACTTAAAAGAATGAATAACGCACAGAAAGGACCTCTGCAAACACATGGAGATAGAAATAATTGGAAGTGACTGAACGGAATACAATAAAAGCAGGTTTTCCTTTCAAGAAAGTGAGGGAAGAGGCGCTTATTTTAGGGCGGCGCTTGTTTGACACTATGGGTTAGGGGGTGGGCGCTTATTAGGAAGAGGGCGCGGTGAATTTGGGCGCTTATTCGAGGAATAAAAATATAGAATATTAGGAATACGGTTTCAAACGTTGACACCGAAAATGCGCCAAAGAATTTTGATAGGTGATAGGTTTCTCTTGATAGTAAAATTCGTCAAAGTAGCAAGATGACAAGATGTAAGACTTATGTACTTGAAAGAGTTGACCTACCTCCTTTGGTGTAATGGCTGTATCACACAATAGTCGCGTTGAGTTTTTACTTTGAAACATAGTTTAAGAGATGCTAAAGAAATATTTCGAAACTTGCTTTATTTCATTGTTGTCTTTGTTTTTCTTCAATCTTATCTTTTTTAATGCTCACGTATTTCCGTCCTTACTTACGACCATGATCATGACATGACATCACTGAAATGTGTTTGCCAATGAAAACTATTGCAACTAGAAAAAGAGTTGCAGCAAGCCAACATATTACAAATGAATTTATAATAGTGTATTGTTCAGCTTTGGAATGAATGTTTTCACACGTGAGTTAGATTTCGTGGTACCAACTGCGAACTTTGAAATTTGTTATTACACCATGGTTTGGCCTATTGACCTCAATCCGTATCACGCTTTTTTGCCGCAACTGTCCTGCATCTTATCAAAATGATGAAGAAATCGCAGCCTTATAATGATATAACTTAAAGTATAATTAATGTAATATGTCAAGAGAAAGATAACCGTGCGAGGAATATTCACTTGCTATCTTCATGCCATTCAGCATCAGCACAAACGGAAAGAAGGAGCGGGGAGGTGAGCAGACCGGGGAGGTAACCAGACCAGGGAGGTGAGCAGATCTGGAAGGAAAGACTCGTCAACAATCAAAGCTCTGACGTCACTAAAAATCATTTGTTGTTGGCTTTATTCCCGTAATCTGTTAAGCGATTACTTAGCTAAACAAGTTCTTTTTAGCTAGAAACTGTATTCTTATTCAAAAGTTGATCCATGTTCTGCCGGTAAGGTAGAGTTTAAGTTTAAGCAGGCTTAATTAACGTGTGAAGAGGGAAATTAAGTGAACAACGAAATCATTAATGAACGTCGAATGCCGATCAGGATGGCATCAGTTTATGTTACAACAAACAAAAGAGAAACGCGCAGGCCAAACAGTAGAACATGTTCTGTTTCGTGGGATGCGAAAGAAGGAAAGAAATGTTCAGCGCCGGTTAAATTTCTTATCCTCACTATCGCTCTGCTGATAGCATTTTCCCTTGTTTTGCTGAATCTGTACTTGAGAGAGCACGCAAGAAATCTCACCGCCAAGGCTGTAGAGAAACCAGAGACAAGAACTACACGGATACGAGCTGAACACGAAAAATATCATGGTGGTTTATGTTGGACAACAGATTGTCTACACGCAGCATTAGGTAAGAAATTTGGCTTCTTTCAAACACTAACAAACGACTCAAGTAAATTTGGAAAACAGAAAAGTGCAGGGAGTAAATAATCAGTCACACAAACTATAATAACCTTGCTTTAATTTGATACAGCTGTGCGCTGTACGAACGACAACAAATCACTCATTGTGCTTTAATTGATGCAAGGGAATTCAGTTTCACTCCTTGTCCCTGCGTCATCGCAGGGAAACGATGCTTACACGTATTTCCATGTTGAATTTAGCATCGCACATGCAAGAATCTTCTCGTGTACGAGCTTTCAGGTAAATGTTGTGGTTTTCACGAGCTGAAACAAAAATTCCACGGTCACGTACATTTCAGAATGCAAATTACGCCTAGCGTTGTTTCATAAATTTACGAATCACGCTCGCCTTTCTGTAAAATTCACCTTTAAACCCTTTTGGCACCCTGTCAGAACGATATAGGATGATAATCTTTGTTTGGTCTCCCTACTTTACCAATGCAAATGCATGTGGGGGTAAAATCGCAAATTTTCGCGCATAGAGTAAATTTTACAGGATATCACAAAAGTAATCATTTGAAAGACATTAGTTTTAACCAGATACAATGAAATATATGAGGTTATTAGATACGTATGAACCTCATATATTTCATTGTATCTGATTTATCACTTTCACGGGTTTATTACGAATCAACTTAACGGCCTGCTCCCAGTTGGCTTGTTAGCTCAATTGGTAGAGCGCTGCACTAGTATCGCAGAGGTCAGTGGTTCGAATCCCGTACAGGCCTGATTTTTTTCAGGTCTGATTTTCGCTATTGCTTAAATAGCGCTATCTACTGCGAGGATCGTGCATCATACGTATCTAATACCGCAGTTCAAAATATATGAACTTCATATATTTCATTGTATCTTATGTAGAATTTTGTAGTTTCAGCTTGTGAATATATTTAATCCAATGGTGTATGTCACCTCACTTTCTACCTTTTTATTTAATCTTGGTTAATATTTTTTT